CATGCAGACACATATACACACAAAATATTTAAGTCACTTCTCTGGGATCCAGTGGTGGCTCGGCATGATGGGAGTCAAGAATTCCCACTCTGACTCACTCTTCCTTACTCCCACTGTAAGGAGTGACTGGACAGTCACTTCTTCCCACCGTCTGATGTCATCTCCGGGGGCCCGGTCACACTGTTAAAGCGCTGCAGTGCTGACTGGGCCCCCTGAAAATCCATGGCCACCTGATGGACCCCTGAACACGCAGCCGCAAAACACATGGCGGCAGGTACCCAATTGCAGGGCTCCGCAGGAAAGGCGGGCCCGGTCACAGCTGCGATCGATGCAGTTCCACCACTTGGATAATGAAACAATGTTATGTAGTTACTTTATCACATAACCATCATTCTTTTTACTGTGCTCTTTATCAATGGAAAGTTGCTGCCAATTAATTTTAAATTCATCACGGGAGAATCAGAGGCATAAATAAAATAACATAGCATTTAACTGTGTGAGAGTAAGTAACAATATGTTAGTTACAATTGACCACTCACAAATTCCCAGATGTAAAACAGCCTTAAGTAAAATCTCTCCTCCAATATCCACTGTATTTTCTCATCTTCACCCTCCCATCAGTAGGTTGGAAAATGTAACTCGAGAAAAATATACAGAAAAAAAAAAAAATGTAGTGTGCTTCCAGAGTATAATAAAAAGGAATTTAATAACTTACATATAAGCAATTCGTTTGTCACCACTAGGCGTCCTACGCGTTTCGGCCCGAAATCGGACTTCCTCAGGGACTTGGTTAACAAATAGCAGCAAAGATTCCAATACAATATAAAAGACCTTTCCCTCCCACAGTTCTTTTATATCCCCCTAAAGTTCATCATTGAATAATTCCCGGCTGGTGCTCCGTTTCTGCCTGGGCGGCGTTTCCTGCTTTCTTCATGTTTTAGCGGGGTCATAATTACGCACGCCGCATGTGTTTCATCTTGCGTTCCAGGAACCTGGAAGTAGATGGTGATCGTCCGTTTTCGTGAATTTTCAATTGCTCCGAAGATGCCATAAATAAATATATATAAATGGACAGGGGAGGAAAACAATTAAAGAAACTCTGGATGGCACAACATGAATATACTTATATAAAAAAAATATATATATTAATACATGGATGCAAGAATATATTCATTGACAACCTGTTTTTCGTTCTATTAGAGGTGAAAAGACCTCCAAGAAAAAATGAAAAAAAAAAATATATAATTTTTCATATATATTTTATATATAATAAAAAAATACATTAATAAAACAAAAAAAAAATGTTTACACAATGAATATATATATATATATATATATATATGTTTGCATGTTAAAATTCCATAAACCACAATTTATACATTCCATGTTTTGAAATATAAAAACCAAAATTGCAAAAAAAAAAAAATATATCTGACATCATTCTCTTTAAAGTACATTGATGACTAGGTGAAAAGAATGTGAAGCCCATCTTATACTGCACTTTCTTCTCTTTACCTTTTTTCTTTTTACACTTTGGTGTTCTATAAAATACAATTATCTTTTTGAAGATGAGAACAGATTTTTAACTATAACTAAAAATGAAAAAAAAAAAAGAATCCAGCTCATTAGATCTTTCAATCTGAAGGTTTTTTGTTACCATTTAGAATTCAAAAAGCAATCCATATAAGACTCCATATATTCAATAAATTAACTATATAACTAAATTTATAATTCAGATATACCTATTAATTTGGAAATGAAGAAAAAAAAAATAGGCAATATTTACACAAGAAACATTCACAAAACAAGAATCAGTCTTCAAAAAAACTCCACAAATCAATATCTAAGTTTAAATCAAAGGGTTGAAGTGTTTTTAATTTATCCAAAAAGTTTCTGAGTTTTTTTGGTCAGATCCCCTCCTCTCCAGTAAGGGTCTACATGCTCAATGCCCATGAAGAAAAAAAAAAACTCTGCCAACTAAATTTGTTACAGGTACTATAGGTTTAGTAGAGTTTTTTCTAATATTGTTTTGATGTTCCAATATTCTAAGTTTTCTACAAGTTCTTCGCACATGGGCATTGCAACATGTAAATTACGTTTTTGGTATTGCAGTTTAGATTAGACTTTATCTTAAGTTTCTTTTGTAGTGAAACTCAAATGCTCTTTTGTGTGTATTGTTGATTTTTACACGCTTTACAAAAATTGCAAGGATTAAAATCATTGATATTAGATGTTATACCTTTACGTGCAATTTTTAATGCGTAGCTGGGCACTAGTATATTATCCCCTATTCTATTTGTATATATTCTGTTGAAGACAGGAGGAAGTCTTTGGGAACCTAGCTGGATACTTCACCTGACACAGGGAAGTTCCGGTCTGCTTAAAATTATACACCTTTCTCACTGGGGTTGTGTTCACATATCTTGTTTACTTTTTGAGAATCAGAGGCACCCTGCAGACAACAAGTCAATGTTTTGCGCCCCGCACAATATCTAAAAAGCTTTGGAGTCCTACTTGAGATTTAATGAACATTCAAATTTGTAAACCCATTTCCCTTATCTGTATAATGCACCTAAAGGGAATGTTTGCATGTTGAATAGAAGAAGCCTTGACTGTTGACAAGTACTTCTCAGTATTAGAAAATTTGTGACTTGCTTTTGTGAGCTACACAATATAGAAGATGGTATTCCTCCAGGCACCTGAACAGAATCAAATAGAACAGGCAAGGTTACATTACAGTAATTAGCAGGAAAAAAAATGTTAAACAATAATCTCAGATGAAATCTAATGCTTTAGTTATGTACAGGGGATGAAATCTGTTACATAAGAATGGAGTGAAGGACACTTTGTTTCATTGGAATGATATTTGTCATGTTGCATGTATTTATTTTTTCATTTTATATTGCATAGGAACATTACACACAGGCTTGAGTCGCCCCAACAGCAGTCCTCAGGGTTATCACATGCAGTACAATTGGGGGTACATGCACAATTATAGTGAGAACATTGCAATGTTGATTAAAACCCAATTGGTTAAGCATGTATTTAATGTTACTGTTTCTTTAAGTTATTAAAAATTAACAAAAAATTTAGAGCATCCACGAGCTAAAGGGTGCCATCGCGACTGACACCCAATAGCTAAAATGCTGGTATATTAACAGAATTCTGTGTAAAAGATTGGCAGTTATTCCCAACCCAGTACAGAGTTAGAGTAAAGCACATGAACTTTGTGGGTTTTCACTAGAAATTGGCACTTTCCAAAATTAGCCTTGCAGCACCCCCACGCTGTCAGACAACTAGTTTGCTTTCTTCCAGTTTAGCTTAAAGGACCACTCTAGGCACCCAGACCACTTCAGCTTAATGAAGTAGTCTAGGTGCCTGGTCCAGCTAGGGTTAACCCTTTATAAAGGGTTTCAGAGAAAGCGCTTGCATGCTTCTCACTGAGAAAGTCAGTGATAAGATGCCAGCGTCCATAGGAAAGCATTTTACAATGCTTTCCTATGAACTGGCTGAATGCATGCAGCTCCTGCTGCACATGCGCATTCAGCTGATGACATCACTAGGAAGGAGGAGAGGAAAGCTCCCTGCCCGGCGCTGGAGAAAGTTAAGATTTTAACCCCTTCCTCTCCAGAGCCCAGCAGGAGGGGGACCCTGAGGGCACCATAGCGCCAGGAAAAGTGTTTTCCTGGCCATATAGTGGTCCTTTAATGAAGCTGAACTCAAGAAGCAGGCAATTTTGCCTTGCAGAAATTTCAAATTGAGCTGTATTGGAAGTGTTACTGGACCGCCACAGAAAGTCTGAGCTGAGGAAGGGGAAGGTTTCAAAGGCATCTTTGTTCTTGTTTAGTTCATACATGTATGTTGCATGACATAAGGATTTTAAAAAGTTAAGGTAGTTTGCTTTCTAGGCCTTGTATATACAAAGCTGAAGCGTGTGTCACATTAATGACTTCTAAATGTTTAGGACATAAACCAATAAAAGTTTAGTTTTGAATGGGTAGAAAATTAAGGGGTGAGGGGGAACCCCAAAACCTAGCCAGACTCCTAAATTAAGCCTTCTTTTGAATGGCATGTTATCTAGTGTGAGTGACACGGGAGGGAAATTACTGCAGTTAGTATTGTGACTAGATATTTAAATAGGCATAGCTACACTACATCTGTGCACTGCTGATGGCACTAAAGTGCAAGAACAAAGTTACTGTAAACTATGACCAAGGCTCAACTGAAATCAATTTGCATTCTTAAAAAGCCTGACCTAGTTTAGTTGGATTTTAAAAACAGGCATAAGATGTTTGTTTATTGCTAGCCTAAGGCATGGTCTCAGATTGCTAGGATTAATGTAATGCAACTCAGAATGCCTTTCAAACTATATGCATGCCATAAAGTCCTTTAGTATCATAGTGCTGATTAATCTGCATTTCCTATGATCCAGTAATAAGGAATCAGATTCCAAGGCGAAGGGAGTTAATATTGTTTGAATTAAGAACCCACTGTTTGCCCATATCAATGCCCCCTATAAAAGTAAGGGTGTTTAGCTGTAACAGTATGTAGTAGGGTACTGGTTGGCACAAACACCATTTACTCTACAGGTTTCCTTAAGAGTAGAACCAGTGCAACATGATATTTCCATGCAGCAGAACTTTATATACCACCTCAAGTACGAAAGTGTCAGTTATACTGCCACAAAGAAGTCCGAAGTACAATAGTACAGGCTCATGTATGTCACTACAAGAACTATTAGACACTGATCTTGTGGCAGCTTTAATATTATGTAAGGTATGGACCTCCATAGATTTCCAAAATCTCATCCAACATGTTACGAGTCTAACAGCCTGATTCCAAACTCAGGATGTTTAGATGGCATAACCAGAGGATAATGGGTGTTAGCTTGTAAGATAATTTGGCAGGAGATGCAGGCTATTCTAAGCCTTGTGGTTTAGAGCCACTTAAGTGGATAGGTTTGGTGTTAAAAAAAAAAACAAAAAAAAACACAAAAGCAGTTTACGAATTAATGGTTTATTAAAATACTTTGACATCACAAGGATTGGTGAATGTTAGCGTTTACCCAGTTTAAAATAGTCAACCTACTGTACTGTTTATACATGACTAGTCATATTGCAGTCATGGTGTACTATAAGAATCAGATGGCAAAGACTATTTGATAATCTTGCCCAACACCCAGAGGGTTTACTGGGTGCAGAATCCTTGTTTCACCTAGCTTAAGAAACTAAAAACCAAAGGCTATCAGCAGATGTGCCATAGTGCAGTTTGGTATTAAGCCTATGCCCTCCCAGTTCTACAAGTATAGAAAACTATACCTTGTTACCACCTGACCAGCGACAGCACAATCATGTCTAGGCCAGTCTTAAAGTCAGTTCTACTCTAGTACTCTGCATTGGGAGCCATGTTTGGCTTTAGACTATGGGTTTGACCACCCCCCAAATGGGTCAGTGCTACCATCTACCAGAATAGTTTTAAACAAACATTTGTAGGACCACATTGAGGTCTTCAAGGGTCAAGATAAAGTGCAGGTCCATCTATTGGTGGCATGTAGTGCAAAATAGTTGTAAGAGTTAAGTCCTAGGTTAGTGTACCAGTATAAAAAGTTCATAAAAATGTAAAAAGTTCATGACACTTGGCCTGCAGTGTCATCAAAAGTCAGACCAACACTGTTGATCATGAAGTAAGTGCTACACAAGTCTGAAGAAAAAGTGTTCATTTGAGAGGAAGGTTTGCTGGTAGCTCAATAAGAGAGACTTGCATGTGCCTGGAAAGAGAAGTCAGGAATTATAATATGCATTTAAAAGTTTAATTATAAAATGCAGATTCTCAAAGCATACTCACTTGGGAGTTTTGTACTTTTCTCGAATTGCTTGTGGTACTTGATGGGGAGCATGGAGACACAACCTATGCAAGTCACTAATGCAGTGCACAATTTCACTTAGCGTGTAGTCAGTAAATGCAACAAGATCTTGAGGCTGTTGAGACAAGAGTTTGCTTAGCATGTTTCCACTGGATTCTCAGTGACCATATGATTGGAGAGAAATACACAGTTTTAGTGTCAATTTAGAGCAGGGGTGAGAGCAAGAGATTCTAAAGATTTTATATAGGTATCATCTTTTGACTCTTGCAAGAGTCAAGAGTTCCATTGGCAAAAGGGAAGCCATATGTTAAAGGCACACTTGATGCCTACTCCGAGTCCTCTACAGCCAGTCAAGCCCTGGGAATTTTGCATTATGGTGAAGGTTTCCTTAAAGGACCACTATAGTGCCAGGAAAGCACTCGTTTTCCTGGCACTGTAGTGCCCTGAGGGTGTCCCCACCCTCAGAGTCCCCCTCCTGCCTGGCTCTGGAAAGGGGAAAAGGGGTAAAACTTACTTTTACAGCGCTGGGTGGGGAGCTCTCTGCCTCCGATCCTCGTCGGCTGAATGCACGCGCAGCTCTTGCCGCGCATTCAGCCAGTCGCATAGGAAAGCATTATCAATGCTTTCCTATTGACGCTTGCATGAGAATCACGCAAGTGCCTCTAGCAGCTGTCAATGAGGGGGGGAGGGAGAGGCTAAACCCACTTATAAACATAGCAGTTTCTCTGAAACTGCTATGTTTATATATTAAAAAAAACTGGACCTGGCACCCAGACCACTTCATTAAGCTGAAGTGGTCTGGGTGCCTAGAGTGGTCCTTTAAGCATTCTATTAACTGCCACTCAGTGACTGGCCAGTACCAATCTTATTACAAGTACAGGAGGTCAGTGTCAGTTGGGTAGCTTGAACTAGTTAATATCTTACCCAAAAAGTCTTGTTTATTGTGTAGTTGGCAAGGCAATAAGCAGCTGCTGCCGTCATCGAAGGGAGATACTTCAAGAATGGCTCCACTTCAAGAAGAGTCAGCTCTGCAAAATACTGCAGACAAGATAGTACATCTTAGTATCTGCTTTGTCATCTTTAGCCTTTCGAGTAGTGAAATTTACTATGGTGTACATTTACCATTGCAAGTTGCTCAGTTTTGGGACAGACTGAGTGTCTTTTCAGATATTGGAGCAGGAACTGGTTGATTGTAGGTACAGTCAGATCAAAAGCCAGTACTTTCAGGAGCAGATGTTCTGTGCGTAGCAGCTGTTTCTTTGTGTAAGTGTCATCTGTGATGTACACAAACTCATCTACATCAGGTGGGTAAATCTCTTCATATTTTCTGCAGAAAGATACCCAAAAGTGTATTAGTGCCCCATTTAGTTTCAGCTATGTGGCATTGCTTGGTGATTATAGTTTGACAAGGGAGTTAAATTGAGAAGCCATAAGCAGACACCAGCTACCTTACTGAATCAATGACAAGTGTCTTCAACCATGTTTCCAAATCTTTTAGATAGTAAAAGTGCAAGTCAGACTATTTTTGCACTTCCAAGTCCATCCTTTAACTGATCAAGATGCTGGAATATTTGTTGTACCCAGCTTGTTAGTCCCAGTAGTTCTAGGTACCGTTAGCATGCCCTTCACAAGACTGCCAGTTTTCAAATAAATGCAAGTAGCAGGAAGTCTAGAGTTTTTGAAAATAGCAAGAGCATTTCATCTCTTGTGGATCTTTGCAGACAAGTCAGACTTTATATACTTACGATGCCAGGAGAATGGAAGCTGTTCCAACAAGCTGTAGCTTGCCCCTCAGTACAGACATGCAGGATAGAAATCTGTCCAGGTAGTTGATAGCAAGATAGAGTGTTTCACATCGAAGTTTGTATTCCTCACTGACTTCCACAAGCCAATCCACCAAGATGGTACGCATTGCTGTTGTTATATCAGGCTGTTTTCTCATGTAAAGTGCCTTTGGCCTGTGTCTTACCTATTAAGACAGTTAAGAACCATTAGTATCCCTTTGATTGCTTTTTGGCCAGTAGATTTAAGAAAATAAGCCACTGCATTTAAAGCATGGTATCAAGTATTTAAGCTATTGTCACCCCTTTGTTAGGAGTATAACCATTTAGAGTTGCACAATATAAAAAGACAGATACATAGCCATTATGATTTGTTCAGAGGTAAAGCTTAAGGGTCTGCAGGTCAAGTTTTAACATTTATAAAAAATAAAATAAAAAAATAAAAAACTATCATTTCTGCACCAAGCAGTCAGACAAGTGACAAAATTTTTTTTTAAATCTGAGGAACTTTCCTGTTTAAGCAGGAAGGCAATATCTGGAGATACTGAAACAAAATGCAGTCACTTGGATGTTGAACTTTCTGGTTGTTTCAACCATCTCTGACAAACAGTTCCTCCACCACCCAAAAAAGTTAAAAAAAAAAATTAAATAAAAGTCCTGCCAGAGCATAAGACAATGGTCTAGCCAAGACAGGAATGATACATTTGTACTTCATTGTCCATTATAGAACAGACTAGGTTTCAGAAGTCTTACTGGCTTAGACTTGAGAAGCAGCATCTCAAGTCTGACAGATGTCTTTACTCCCTTTGCTCATGTCCCTTGTCTGAAGATTGGCACACTGCATTCTCCCAACACTTTATTGTACTCCAGCTTGACAGGATTTTCAGGCAGATACCTTAAGTTAAAGTTTGGTGCCAAGACTTTATTGCTTACCAAATCAGGGGTACTTTATGCTGCTCCATAGATATTCCACCCCCTTCATTTGAAATACACTAATTGTGGATATGTGCCATTCATACTAGGGAAGTTAAGGATTGTGCTAGCCTTTAGATCTCATGCCATTTAGTAGTTTGGCCAGGCTGAAAGGCTTTCTAAAACATTATCTTAGGAAACAGTACTTACTTCAGCCTCACGGAGGTACTGGTGAATATCATCCATGTATTCAGATACAACAATGGCATCAGGATCTATTTCAGACCCGTCTCCAGGGTGATGGTCCATAGATGTATCAACCATCATTGGGGAAGCTGTAACAAATAGTTTTAGTCATGGGTTATGATATTTCACATTAAAAATAAAAAGTAAAAAGTAGCAATATAGTACTCACATGTACTAATGTCAAGCAGCAAGTGGAAACTTTGTTTCACAATGTTGACATCCGCTTCTTCAAAGCTTGGAAACTCTACTTCAAATGAACACTTCTCTTGTTTAACCTCTGGCTCATCAACATAGATTGTAAAACTGGGTTTAGGAACAGGTAAACAGGACACCTTTCTCAGGAGAGGAAATTCATTCTTAACTCCAGCAGCCTGAATTAAGATATGATTATTAATATCTGTTAACAGGCCAAGACTAGAAAATGTAATAATGGAGTTAAAGTCAGTTTACACAATATGTTAGTGATTGAAATCTAGTCACCTCAAGATATGTCACCATTTCATCAGCAAAAAAGGGTCATTACTGCTACAAACTAAAGTTTACATAAAGCAGTTCTAGTTATGTAGTAGGTTAGAATTATCAGAACTGTTAGTGGGCAAGTCACCTCATTAGGCAGCATGATCCTTCAACCGTAAACAAACCTTTGGCGATTCAGGGTGCTGAAATGGTTTATATAGGCTTCACTACCTGCTCAGAAGCAGTTTTCTCCAACCAAAAAGGTGCATTATATGATTGAAGGACCCTGACATACAGTAACAGTAGGGATGGGTTTAATTTTCCCCATATATACTTAAGGGAGAACAAACCCCACCCACAACCCCTTTTTCTTTTATGTGGGGGGGGAGGGAGAAGAGTCCAAGGGAGAGCCAAAACACTTAATGATCAAGTGTTACAATTTGCCAGTCACAGTAGGCTGGCACAGCATCCTATGCACTGTTGCAGTATTTAATGGAGACATGCCATGTTGAAGCAGCTCTGAATGATTGTTATGGTGGCATAGTTATAGTTCCATAATGATTTGTATTATAGTTAGTTCCTTAAAATATTTGGCTCATTCATTATAGTATGAGTCTGTAGAATGGGCAAGAGATCTCAGCGGCTCTAATTCTACCACCAGCAACTAGCAGAGAGTTAATCCTACACACATTTTATAACAATGTTAGTGCCAAGCTACTTGCCTGGCCAAGTGTTCGTCTGTACTGTTCATTGCCACTGATCACACCAAGCACCGTTCTTTGAGGCGACATGTTTGTCTGGATGATCGTTTCGTTTGGTAGAGAAGGATTTTGGTAGGCACTGTAGATTCCAATAGTGGAGTTCATGTTGAGACTATTGGATGCAATACTGCGACGCATTCTCAATACCAAGACAGCTTACAACTAGGAAGGAAAGAACATTAAAAATTACAAACCAAAGCATTGCTACTTTCTAGAATTGCAGTTGGCAAATTATACAAGATACAAAATTTTCAATAATGGTGCCATTTTACATGCAGAAACTTTGTTCCCATGGTGATTGCTTTTTTGAGGGGTACTTGGAACAACTTGTTTTTGCCTTGACAAGTCTCACTATGGTCAAGAAATCAAAAGCCACATTTTGCCTCTGTCAAGTCCAGGTTTATAGATGCATGGCAACAAAGTGTTCTAGATGCTAGAACACCTTCCCTAACTAAAAGAGGAACATGCATGATAACTGTTAAAGAGGACAGTCATAACTACTTTTATTACACTTAGAGTGACAAGCATCAATTGACAGTTATTTTTAAACCAGTAAGCAAACACTAACCCCCATAATCCAGTACACGTTTTCAGCATTCCCAAGGATAAGACACTGCTTGTTAGATCAGTGCCCCCTTGAGTGGGTGTGAAAAGTATAAATCTTTTTTCCAGCTAGCAATATGAGTCAGCTGTCTCATGCAAACTAAAGTCTTTGATAAGTCAGGTCTCAGTGACACATGTTCATTTAAGCAACCAATATTAAAGTTCGATAGTCCGGACAGGTTAACGCAACAGTAAGACAGATACCTTGTATTTACCTACTGCAAATATTTAAAAGTTTAACCCCTTAAGGACACATGACATGTCATGATTCCTTTTATTCCAGAAGTTTGGTCCTTAAGGGGTTAAAGACCAACGTGCATTTGGATGTAGACTTAAAGTATACCATTACTGGGTGAGGTACTTCAGAAGTTTGCTCTAGCCAACATTATCTTGCCCATGCCAGTTTGTTGCATGCCATTCTCACTATTCCAATAGAATATTGTAATTTAAGTTGTGATTAGAAGAGGATCTTTATTAGTTAAAAGCCGTGTGTAAAGCCACGTCCGTATGTTTCCAATACATCACAGATCCACAACCCAGATCAGATACACAGCTCCTGTAAGTTATTCCTACTGTAGACTGGCCTTTCACAGAGGTATGATACACATTTCCTTACAGTAATGCCAACTACATATATGTTCGAGTGACTATGGATGGAGCTAGCCAACAAGATACGCCAGACTGATCAAGACTATCCATTAAACAGCTAGTCTGTCTCCAGCAGCTGCCCATTGGAAGTCAGTGACATGATCAATGCTGCCTGGGACCTATTAGTACATAACACCATCATCCCATTACCTGTCCCAGTGACAGCTCCAGACACTGCGCCCAGCAGGTGACAGTAACAGTCAGTGCCCATACAGGGTGACAAGGAGTGTGCCAGTAAACCAGCATACAGTCAGTCAGTTCCCCCCCCAGGGAGGGGGGGTCCCATACAGTCAGTTCCCCCCCCCCCCAGGGAAGGGGGGTCCCATACAGTCAGTTCCCCCCCAGAAGGGGGTCCCATATTAAAGTCAGTTCCCCAGGGAAGGGGGGTCCCATACAGTCAGTTCCCCCAGGGAAGGGGGGCTCCATACAGTCAGTTCCCCCCAGGGAAGGGGGTCCCATACAGTCAGTTCCCCCCCAGGGAAGGGGGTCCCATACAGTCGTTCCCCCAGGGAAGTGCTGGGGGTCCCATACAGTCAGTCTCCCCAGGAAGGGGGTCCCATACAAACAAGCCCCCCAGGAAGGGGGTCCCATACAGTCAGTTCCCCAGGCTGGGGTCCCATACAGTCAGTTCCCCCAGGGAAGGGGGTCCCATACAGTCAAGTTCCCCCAGGGGGTCCCATACAGTCAGTTCCCCCAGGGAAGGGGGTCCCATATTGTGCCGTCTCCAGGAAGGGGTCCCATATGTCAGTTCCCCCAGGAAGGGGGGTCCCACAGTCAGTTCCCTACAGGGAAGGGGGCTCCATACAGTCAGTTCCCCCAGGGAAGGGGGGTCCCATACAGTCAGTTCCCTCCCCCAGGGAAGGGGGTCCCATACAGCCGTCTCCCCAGGAAGGGGGGTCCTACACAGTCAGTTCCCCAGGGAAGGGGGTCCCATACAGTCAGTTCCCCCCCAGGAAGGGGTCCCACAGTCAGCTCCCCCCAGGAAGGGTCCCATACAGTCAGTTCCCCCAGAAGCAAGTCCACAGTCAGTTCTCCCCAGGAAGGGGGGGTCCCATACAGTCAAGCCCCCAGGGAAGGGGTCCTGTATACAGTTAGTTCCCCCAGGAAGGGGATCCCATACAGCCACCCCCCCCAGGAAGGATCCTATACAGTCAGTTCCCCTCTAGGAAGGGATCCCATACAGTCAGTTCCCCCAGGGAAGGGGATCCCATACAGTCAGTTCCCCCAGGGAAGGGGGGTCCCATACAGTCAGTTCCCCCCCATACAGTCAGTTCCCCCCCCCCAAGGGAAGGGGGGTCCCATACAGTCAGTTCCCCCAGGGGTGTGCCAATAACAGTCAGTCCCCAGATACCAGCATACACACCGCGCCCTGGGTATAGGCAGGCGGGAGCCACCATCACCACTGCGTGCGCCCAGCGAGACAAACTCTACAGGAGTAGTAGATACAGCACCTTACTGCCGGCAGGAGGTGGTAGCCATCTCGCTGAATGCCCGCCATTCCCTGACTGTTAGCAGCCACGCACCGAGCGCCCACCACATTCAAACACAAACAGCCCCGCGGGGACCTACCGGTAACTGCTACTGCCCAGACCTCCGCACCGACCTGCTGCCAGCTCTCCGCGCTGGGGATTTATGGGGCAGCGAGGAGGATGCTGGGTAGCGGGGTCTGCTGGCTGATTGATAGATTGATGGGCAGCAGGTGTAGCTCTGCTCCGTGTTGGGGTTCGGGGGCCGCTCATTGGCTGGAGCCCTGCTCTGTGTTGGGGTTGTTGGGCTGCTGATTGGCTGTGGCCTTGCTCTGTGATGGGGTTCGGGGACCGCTGATTGGCTGCAGCTGTAGCCGGAGCCCCGCTCTGCCTGTGTATGGGGGGGAATAGACCTGCACTGACAGCTCAGCTCAATTACTCCAGTGTTTTCAATCAGCCCGCGCCTGTGGAAACGGACCAATCAGAGCGCGCCCAGCATCACGTCACATGAAGAGGCGTTGCCATGGCGACGCTAGGCGGCGTGCTCGAGGGAAGCAGGAGGCATCTTCTCCTTGGTAACCGGTGACAGCTCTGGTAGCCCAGGCAAGCTGAGCCCACTGGTGATGATGGGGCAGCCACCGTGGCATTAATACCGCCAGCAATGCAGCCTCTAATTAGCTGAACTGATATTATAAACAGCAGCTGTGGCTGAGCTTAAACTGCCAAGAGAAGGCATGTTATAACATGGGGATAACAGCAATGCACCTGCTCTCATTATCCTCAGCCAGGCACAGCCTGGCACCACCTCCTGTTTAACACAGGTGGTCAGTCAGATGGTGTTATACAAAAGGGGCCAAAATATAAAAAGCAAGACTAGTGGGATAGCCTCTATCTCTGTATGATTATTATTATTATTATTATTATTATTTATATAGCGCCATCAGATTCTGTAAATATACAAAGCAAGACTAGTGGGATAGCCTCTATCTCTGTATGATTATTATTATTATTATTATTATTATTATTTATATAGCGCCATCAGATTCTGTAAATATAAAAAGCAAGACTAGTGGGATAGCCTCTATCTCTGAATTATTATTATTATTATTATTATTATTATTTATATAGCGCCATCAGATTCTGTAAATATAAAAAGCAAGACTAGTGGGATAGCCTCTATCTCTGAATTATTTTTATTATTACTATTATTTATATTGCGCCATCAGATTCCGTAAATATAAAAAGCAAGACTAGTGGGATAGCCTCTATCTCTGAATAATTATTATTATTATTATTATTTATATAGCGCCATCAGATTCCGTAAATATAAAAAACAAGACTAGTGGGATAGCCTCTATCTCTGAATTATTATTATTATTATTATTATTATTTATATAGAGCCATCAGATTCCGTAAATATAAAAAGCAAGACTAGTGGGATAGCCTCTATCTCTGAATTATTATTATTATTATTATTTATATAGCGCCATCAGATTCTGTAAATATAAAAAGCAAGACTAGTGGGATAGTCTCTATCTCTGAATTATTATTATTATTATTATTATTATTATTATTATTTATATAGCGCCATCAGATTCCATAAATATAAAAAGCAAGACTAGTGGGATAGCCACTATCTCTGAATTATTATTATTATTATTTATTTATATAGCGCCATCAGATTCCATAAACATAAAAAGAAAATAAAAAAATCTTCACTTTTATCTTAATTAAGTTATTTTGCTAGATTGAACCTGACCCTGCAGTCTAGCAATGTGGATATTGCAATTTCACAGAAACAGCAATGTTTACATTTGGCCATAAAGATAACTCCAGTGGCTGTCAGACTGACACTAGAGAGGTATTTTCTCATGAATACCTTCGAAAATTAAAGGTCTTCGTGTTCAGCATCAATTAACGCAGAATTTGATTCTGATTTTTTAAAGCCACAATGATTTCTGCACATGTGCCATAGTTCCCCAATGCTTTCTCATTGGATTAGACTAGGGGTATTTTTGACAGAGGCAAGAGTACTGAGTGGGGGCTTGACAAACCCCAGGTCTAATGTTGGCACCATTTTATTGTTAGCCATGAATTCCTTGTAATACTGAGAGTAAGATAGCACTTCCAGTTATGTAATTTGGGACAGTGCCACTTTAATGAACCATATTGAGTGTGGGGGCATTGATGTTGAGTCTGGGGGTTAATACATCTGGTGTGGAGTTTACAAAAATAGATTAATGTAATACTCTGGATTCAATGAAAGAGTTAATTACTGTACTCCCAGGGCCCTATGGACATGGGGGTAATCTGCTGTGATGACATGCTCCATTATAATTGATGTTATGACACTATTATTGAATGCCCTGCTATGATAACTTTGTTTGGAAGATGGGACTTTGCCCAAAAACTGATACATGGGTCATGCCTTCAAATCCATATTTCTTATGTGAGCTCCTTGATGGAGCACACTATACACCATAGCCACTGTAGCTTAGAGTAGTGTTTGTAGTGAAAAGAGTCTATGGGTGCCATAACACAATATTATGTTAAGCCAGTTGGAAGCATTTTGACAAAAACTGGCACTCTCCCTGGCACCCAAAGTCTGTCCCTCATCTGCCTCATTGACAATGTGTAATTTAAACTTACAGCATTATCAAAGTCAGTTGTGTCCAAACATAGTAAATAATAATAATAATAATAAAATATTGTTATTATCATTACAATGAATAACAGGGAGTTAATGGAGGTTCCCTGTTGTAAGATAAAAAGGGTGCTGATTTCTATATTTAATTTTATTTTACACACAGCACAAATCCATATATGGAATATTAAAAATCCTGGCACGTATTAACTTTTTAATCTGTGCATTTTAGGATTTTCTAATAGTTTACCTGCACTTTACATTTCAGTATACCATCTGTCTGTAGAGATGTATGTATAGCTGCATTGCTTGTGTTCTTCAGCGTTCTTTAGATCATATCATGTAAGGTACTTTCCTAAGGAATTCAAACTTAAACCGAAGAAAAATCTATAACCTTTAATGAAGTACAGAGGCAATTATTAACCTATGTGGTTTGTTACATAGATAAACATCAAGCACTAACAGTAATCATTGTGAGCATATGTGAGAACACTGTGTAGCAAGCTGAACCAAAGTGTATCTCAGCTACAGAGTTTAATGATTTGTTTGTAAATGCTGATGGTGAGTCTTGTAGTTTATAATTACCAGGCTGAAATATTCCCATTGGAACTGAAGACTGAGGAGGCAAAAACCATAGACCAAAGAGGGAAGGGGGGGAGGGTTTTTTATGTGGTACTTATGCCCTTCATTTATGCACATGTGCCAATTAAGATGCCAATGTGTCAAAGGGCGAATCAGACTTTGTGGTTATTTATGATCCTAAGGAGTGTAATTTGTTACTATATATTTATATATATATTTTTTATAATATTTTATATTTATTAAGAGTATATAATTGTGTTATGGTACTAGCTGTATAATCTCATTCTGTACATTACACATTATAGGCCACTTCTAAACAGATTTTGATTTATTCATTTAGGAGTTCTTAGATGACGTTCCTATCTGAGCACGTAACAATTTGTGCAAAATAAACATTGGTAATTATACAAACAGGGTATGAATGAATAAAGGGACAGATTGAAACAAAAGAATCTGATGAGCTATGGAAAAATGTGTCATCCAATCAGAAATGTTTTTTTTTCATTTATGTCTGACTTTACATCTTAAAATGTGTCTGCCAAGATATGTCAGTATGCTTTTTTTTCAATTCTAATATTTGTTAACACTTGCACACAATATCATTGTCTAGAATAAGCACTATCATACTGACAAAGTGTCAAATGAAAAGTAAAGAAATGAAAGAATAATAAAAACCTGGCTCCTCCTCCTATTCCACCTATCTATGTGCTTGGGGTTAGAATGTAAAAGACCAAGTACCATAATCAACACAGCGTGTTGCAGTGATTATGGTGTCTGCAGTTCCCTAGAGCCCTTCACAGTGCTGGTATACAGACAGTTTGCTAACAGTTTGACAATTTACCTGGGGCCACTTACCTGATTTAAAGCTGAACGCTCCTGTATGGATTCATTGGCTGAAACCATCAGCTGAGCACTCTTAACCATGAAGTAAACCCCTGCACTGCTAAGCTTATGGCTGCCAATGGAGTAGGTGACTGGCAGACCACAGGTAAGCTAACCACTAGCAAACATTCTTACTACTGACATGGGGGTTGGGGGCACCATAAGCACTACAGCTTGCTATTGAGATAATGGTGCTTTGATTGTTCTTTTCAATATAATGAATCATGATACCAGATACATAGGAGGGGTACTTTATACTCTCCCTCATCCAATGCATGTAGGGGGTGTTATTAGAACTGGACTATAATACTCCTCTGCTCCCTTCCTTTTCCCATAATTTGATAAGGATTTGGTTTCACAGAAAGGGGGTAATGCAATCATTTTAATGTGTGAAAGATTTTATTTTGCTGTATAAGTGTAAGCAATACATACAATGTTTCATGCATATGTGGTTGAATTTATTAATCATGTACAATTAAAAAAGGTTGACTCCAGCCATAATTATGTTTTTACCCAAAGCATGTAGCACATTGATTGTTGACTGGCATAACATTAGATGTGTTGTGGTTACAGGAGGTCTCAAGTGAAGTGTTCTGTCTTTCTTAAATCCTAACTCCATTCAAGTGGTTACTAGTAAAGTCTCTTTGAATGGAGATTATCCTTACTTTTATGTGACCACAGTGCAGCAGAACAAAGGCTAGCAATGTGATTAATCTATTCTTCTCCCAAATATAATAAACAGTAAACCTGATTATATCAGTGGAGTTTTGGATAATCCTTGTTTGTACTCTAATCTAGAGTCCTTAAAAACACTTATGAATAAGACTTTGAAGGGAAAATCTACCAACAAAATGTTGCATTAACTTTCACTACTGTCTAAGAAGAACTACAGAAGTATGAGAATCTCTGAAACAGATAATGATGATTAAAGGGTCTGCTTTAGGGCAATGCAAGCAAGGTTTGTCACCTGGGGCAGCAAGCACCTGCTGGGAATTCCCTTGTGTTTTAAACTTTTTTTCTTTT